GGACTGCAAACAAACATACAAAAAGAACACAATCATGACGGTATAAACAAAGCCAGAACAGAATCACAGCTACACACCTCAGACCTGCCCATCGCGGAAGCAATGATAGCGAACAGCTATGTTAGACATAGCAACTTGTGCTGGGATTACACCTTTCAATAGCTTGCAAGGCTGATGAATTGACCGCCACTATTTTTAGCCCCCACACACACACGCGCGCGCGCGCACACACACACACAGAAAGAGGGGGGGGGGGGGGAAGACGCGCGCGTGCGCGCGCGCGCACACCTCAGACCTCAGACATGCCCATCGCGGGAGCGATGATAGCGAACAGCTATGTTAGACATAGCAACTTGTGCTGGGATTACACCATTCAACAGCTTGCAAGGCTGATGAATTGACCGCCACTATTTGTAGCCTGGTATCCACCACACAGCTGTTTGAAGTGACTTTTTCTGGCCAGTGAATCCCTATTTTTCATTTTTTTTTCTTTTTTTTCTACACACACACCACACCACATACTCCGGCATACACTGGCTGTTGGTAACCACCCAGGAGAATGAAAGAAAAGTCAGGAAGAGTCTGAGAAAGAGAAGAAAGACGTGTGTGACCATAATCGTCGGGAATCGAACCCGCAACCTATCGATTGGAAATCGCTGCACATACCACTGCACCATATGGGACACACACACACACACACACACACACACACACACACACACACACACACACACACACACAATACTATTGAATTTTCTTCGCCGGCTTGTTGTTGGCTGCCGTCCTTCTTCCTGCAGAAACAGACACACAACATGGACATGCAGAGAAGTCATGCACTGTGAATCTCCTGTACAGACACCGCAGCTATATATCCATACCGTTACACGTTACAAGACCAAATTGAATTCAAGGAAAGAATCTGTCCCTCCAGAAACTCGAGGAGAAATTTCAGAAATATCGCGGAAAACGTTGCGAGGTAAAATGCCACAAATTGCGCGGAATATTGCGGGGAATATTGCGGGGTCTGTCAAAAATTGCAGCAAAGTATTACTGTGGTGAAATTGCGGAAATTTCCGGCAATTTTGGTACTTGTAGCGTGGTACGAGTCGTACAGCATAAATCATGCAGACAAAACAGAACGTGTGCTTCGCTGAAGACAAGTGAGTTACAGTACTACAAGTACTCGACTGTCTTCAACTGCCTGACACGAGCTTGCAAGACGGCTTTTCTCCATCCTCGGAGAACACTTGACAAGTTCGTTAAGTGCTTTCGCAGTTTTTCCTGTTATTACCTTTGTGCTAGGAATATCATTTTCATAGGTGTTGTTTCTTCTCACTCCATTTCTCTTTATTAGTATCTTTCTGGATTGTTTTTCATTAGTACAACGTAGCTTCCTGAGGAGTGTCGTGCGAAAACTAGTTCGAAGTACGATTTTTTGTTCATCATTTCTTCCATATCACATTTTTTCTTTCTTCCATGTTCTTCACTGCCTTCGTAGCCACTCGTTTTTTGAATACAATAAAAGCCTTTGTGAAATGTCGGTTCAGCTCGTTCTGTTGATCGCAATTCTAAAATCATTATTATCATTTTCACTAGTTTGAGGGAAAGAGACAAACGGGAAAAGTCTGAAGAAAAAATTGACTGTCACCATCAGGACTCGAACCAGGGACCCTCGCTTGTAGCTAGCGATGCTCTAACCACTGAGCTATGGTGTATTATTATTATTATTATTATTATTATTATTATTATTATTATTATTATTATTCAAAGGATCAGTCGGGGAAGTGAACTGCCTGAAAAGAGAAAAAAACGCCAGACCCACCAGGACTCAAACCTGGGACCCTGCTTGTCCTGAGCAATGCTCTAACCACTGAGCTATGGGACCAGGCTGAACCTAGAAGGCGCTGACAAGTTTTTCACTCCAAAGGCAGCTCACAACACGTGCCACACATACTGATGGCACTTGGGTCTTTTTCCCTCCCCCAGGAATTTGAAGTTCTCCCAATCCTTTCCAATTTTAATCACTTTCTTTCACCTCTGGTAGTTTCCAGAAACTGACCGTGGTTGGTCCCCTGGGGGAGGGAAAAAAGACCCAAGTGCCATCAGTATGTGTGGCACGTGTTGTGAGCTGCCTTTGGAGTGAAAAACTTGTCAGCGCCTTCTAGGTTCAGCCTGGTCCCATAGCTCAGTGGTTAGAGCATTGCTCATGACAAGCAGGGTCCCAGGTTCGAGTCCTGGTGGGTCTGGCGTTTTTTTCTCTTTTCAGGCAGTTCACTTCCCCGACTGATCCTTTAAATTTGAAGTTCTCCCAATCCTTTCCAATTTTAATCACTTTCTTTCACCTCTGGTAGTTTCCAGAAACTGACCGTGGTTGGTCCCCTGGGGGAGGGAAAAAGACCCAAGTGCCATCAGTATGTGTGGCACGTGTTGTGAGCTGCCTTTGGAGTGAAAAACTTGTCAGCGCCTTCTAGGTTCAGCCTGGTCCCATAGCTCAGTGGTTAGAGCATTGCTCATGACAAGCAGGGTCCCAGGTTCGAGTCCTGGTGGGTCTGGCGTTTTTTTCTCTTTTTTTTCTCTTTTCAGGCAGTTCACTTCCCCGACTGATCCTTTGAATTTGAAGTTCTCCCAATCCTTTCCAATTATTATTATTATTATTATTATTATTATTGGCTCGACATCCTTGTTTCATATTGACTTGGGAATGATCGCACATATGGGCTCACCACACTGCATGCAGTCAGTGGGTGAGGACAAGGTGCATAAAAACTGCATTCTGTCCTGCCCCAGTGAAGTAACACTTCATATTAGAGCGAGTTGCTAATCTAGAGTGGACACACACACCAAACACATACAGCACCCCCCCCCCCCCCTTACCAAACACACACGCACACACATTTGAGAGGATATCAAAGGTCTTAAAAATATGCAAGGTCAAAATCGTATATCAAAAATCCGGATCACCTTCCAGAGATGCTACTTTGTAGTGGATTTAAAAAATAAACAATAGTAGAACTTTGAACTATTCAAAATCTCTTTTGGAGCAGCGGATACTCACTTGGTAGAATGCCCATTGGATCACAGAATGTAGCAGCTGGCAATACAGGAACAAGTATGGCTGTGATTATTGAAATGAACGGCGCTTCTGGAGGTGAGGAGAACGTTTCCTGAGGTATGCCGGTAGATCTTCTGAAAGGAAGTAGAACCAAGCAGAAGAAAGACCCAGGACACTGAAGAGTACTGTATTTTACAGGGCGCAAGACGCAGCCCCCCCCCCCCTCTTTATGGGGTGCGAGCTAAGAGGCCGTCGAGGTCTGATGTCATTGCTTCACCCCGAGCTGCAACCCAGCACCCCCTCTTTACGGAGAGTAATCCACACCTCCCCCCCCCCCCATTTGTAATTAGTCACTGCCAGAAACTGGTCACATGGGTACCATGGGTCTCCCTGAGAGAGGGGAGAGAAATTCAAAGGGTGACTTGCCACTCCAGTGCGACCGTTTCAGCGCGATGCATTTCAGCGCCAGCACTTCAGTGCCTGATTTCACAGCGCCAGCTTCTTCAGCGCCATGACTATCAGCGCGGTAAAGTACAGCGCCAGCAACTCAGCGCGAAAAAGTAAGGCACGATAATTGTTATTTACAGCGCGAAAAAGTTCAGCGCAATAAAGGTCAGCGCGATCAAGTACAGCACAGTACACTGCAGAGTGGGTAAGGACAAGGTTCAGAAAAACTGAAAAACTGCATTGTGCAGTGTCCAATGAAGTAACACTTCATTTTAGAGCGGGTTGCTAATCTAGAGTGGACACACACACCAAACACATACAGCACTCCCCCCCCCCCCTTACCAAACACACACGCACACACATTTGAGAGGATATCAAAGGTCTTAAAAATATGCAAGTTCAAAATCGTATATCCCCGAGCTCTCTGCATCGCCCCGCCCCCCCCTTCCTGATGGAGTTCAAGCCGCATCCCCCCCCCCCTTGACGGGGTGCAAGCCGCAACCCCCTTCTTTACGGAGTGAAAGCCACATCTCCCCCTTTTTACGGAGTGCAAATCGCATCCCCCTTTTTGCGGAGTGCAAACCGCATCTCCCCCCCCCCCCCCCTCTTCACGGGGTGCAATCTCCCCAAACTGCACCCCCCCCCCCCCCCCGCCGCTCTTTACAGAGTACCGTATTGTCCGGGGTATAAGCCGCACTTTTTTCGCTAAAAATCGGACCAAAATCGCCCCTGCGGCTTATACACCGAATATGCTTGCGCGAATGAATGCTTAGCATACATCAGTATGCATGCTGACGTCATGTGACATGTCATTCGACTCAGCTTCGCGCCTGTGTTGCTATCCCGGCACTTTTACTAGTTTTAGTGCGCGGGCTACACCATACGGTACGCATATACGGGGACTCTATTTTGCGTACTGCAAGTGCCGGTTTCCACACATCCTAGTATACAGCGATACGATAATACCATGGAGTGATCTGTAGTCAACATGGAGTGATCTGTAGTCAACACAGCAATACACCAACATCTCTGCAGCAACCTGTGGTGCACTAACACTTCATAATCTGATCTAACATGGTATTTAGCTCCATAACCATAATAAATTTGTAGAAAGGCCATTTGTCAATGAGTGTGAAAAATCTTGGTTCGTAGGTGCGGCTTATACTCCGAATACCAACTTTTAGTCAATATTTTGCCTCAAAAAGGGGGGTGCGGCTTATACCCCGGATAATACGGTACAAGGCGCATCTCCCCCCCCCCCCCCACACACTTTTTCGGGGTGCAAGCTGTATCTCCCCCCCCCCCTCTTTACGGAGTGCAAGCCGCATCTCCCCCCCCTCCCTTTATGGAGTGCACACCAGTATCACAGGATTCCACTTGATTCAGATGAACATTCAATCCACATCACTTGGTGGATACACCACACAGCTATGAAGTGACTTTTGCTGGCCAGTGAATCCCTACTTTTTGGTCTTTTTCATTTTTTGTTTTGTTTCCCGCA